AGTAAATAAACATGGGCGGTTTTCAAACTGAAAAAAAAAAAAAAAGAATAGAGAGCCTGGAAATAGATCCACACATGTATACTAAACCAACCTTTTTTTCTTTTTTTTTTTTTAGAGAGAGATATTTTTGCTATAGGGCACGTACATTTGCCAGAGAGACAGAGAGTCAAAGAGTGAGTAACCATCCCCTGTGCGGATAGCCATGCCACAATCCCTTCTTCTCCTTTCTCTCTCTCGGGATCTTGGGCATGCATGCACATGCACCTGGCATGAGTTTTAAGCCGCTGGGTCTGGGACTTGAACTGTGGTTGACTATGTGGGAGTTTAGTGATGTAATCATTACACTACCTGCTGGTCTCTACTAAACAAACCTTGATAAAGCAACAAAAACAATTCAATGGAGAAATGCTAGTCTTTTCAACAAAAGTTGTTGTAACAACTAAACATACAAAAAAAAAAAGAAAAATATCTAGACATTGGCCTTATACCTTTCATAACTCATAACTCAAAATTGATTACAGATACCAAAGTAAAATGTAAACCTATAAAACTTCTAGAAGATAATTCAGGAGACAATCTAGGTGACCTTGTGTTTAGCAATGACTTTATAGGTATAGCACTGGACCCATGAAAGAAGACATTGGTAATTTGTATTTCATTAAAGTTAGAAACTTCTACTCTGTTAAATGCACTATTAAGAGCATTAAAAGACAAGCTATAGACTGAAAGAAAATATTTGTAGAACCTATATTTGATAACTTGTATTTAAATATACAAGCAGGTCTTAAGGCTCAACAATAAGAAAATAAAGGACGCCATTTAAAAACATGCAGAAGACCTGAACAAACTCCTTACCAGAGAAGATAAACAGATGGCAGATAATCATATAAGATTTCTCAACATCATGTGTTATTACAGAAACGCAACCTAAAACAATAAGACATCACTACTCACCTATTAGAATGGCTCTAATCCATAAACCATCAATACCAAATACTGAAATGATTGTGAAATGGGAACTCTGCTTCATATCTAATGGAAATGCCCAATGGTACAACCACTTAAGAAGACCACTTGAGGGACCAGCAGGTGACATGATGGTTAAGGCGCTAGACTCCCACATAGCCAACTGTGGTTCAAGTCCCGGACCTGGCGGCTTCTCTCGCTCTCACTCTCCCACTCTCTCTGTCTCACTGGTAAGTGCATATGCCCTATAGCAAATGCCCCGACCTGTGGGACAGTCGAACAGGTTCCCAGGGGGAGGGAATGAGAGATGGGGCAAACACACGCACACACAATACGAGGTGCTGATCAAGTCTTCCTCTTCCTCTTCTTCCATTTATTGAGGAGAAATGGCGAGTTATATACAGCTGGTGGGCACTGATTGGTTGCTCGAAATGCAAATGAGGTAGAACAGCATGAACCAATCATTGATGTGGGTGGATCTCTCCCATTGCCTAGAAACCCAATCACATCCAGGGAGAACGGTTGGTCACATGATTTCTGAGAACCAGTTTGCTCAGTGAGGAAGTGAAGCCTAATGGTTTCCAAGATGGTGGATAGCTCAAGATGGCAGATAGCTCAAGATGGCTTCCGTATGCAGTGCCCTCCACAAGCAAACATTTTAAAAATAGTAATAATAAATAAAACAAATAATTTTTTTAAAAAGAAGACCATTTGGCAGTTTCTTTGCCGTCATACCTGAAAGTTAAATTTAATATCTGCACATAAATGTTTATAAAAGCTTTGTTTATAACTGCCCAAAGGTGGAAGCAACCAAGATGTCCTTTAAAAGGTGAATGTATAGGGGCTGGCAGGTGGCATGGTAGTTGAGGGCACTGGACTCCCATGCCCTGACCTGCAGGACAGTTGAACGGGTACCTGGGTGAGGTTGGTGAAAAAGGGGACCCACACAAAATTTTCACACACACACACAGAGTGGAGACAAGATGAGGTGCTGATCAAGTCTTCAGTTTATTGAGGAAGAATTGCAAGCTTATATACAGGCTGGTGGGCACCGATTGGTTGCCTGAAATGCAAATGAGATAAAACAGTATGAGCCAATCATTGAGGTGGGTGGATCCCAACCATCCCCAGGAAGAACAGTTGGTCACAAGATTTCTGAGAAATGGTTTGCTCAATGAGAAAGTGAAACCTAATGGTTTCTAAGATGGCGGACAGCTCTCGAGAAGCTCCCAAGATGGCTTCCATATGCAATGCCCTCCACATATCACCCTTTTTTATTTTTTCAAAGGGAGATGAAAAACCTGGGGGAATCGTGCCTGTCTTAGGTTGGAGTCATTGTTAGAGCCACACATCCATCCTTCCCTGTCATTGGAGAACCTCATTGCAATGATGAGTTTCCTGTCTTAGGTGGGAGGACTGTACAGCTGTCATAGGCTCAGACTCTCTTACCCATCTTTGGCTAACCAATTCAGCCCCTCAAGCAAGAGAAATATCTAGGCTCCGTGGTACTCCATCTCCCCGCAATACTCCATCTTTAGGTTGTGATAATGGACTTGGATAGGCTGTATTTTTATGGAGTCATTGATTTGGCGTTTAAGGAAAGCCACGAGCTTATTAAAGAGAACAGGTCCCAAAGAGCAAACAATCAATAAACCCAGAATTAGACCAAGTATGGGGAGTAAAAAAGGGAGGAGTCCATTTCATGCAGTCAAAAAGGGATTATCAGTGAGCTGTTTTTATTTTTGTTCAAGGAGATTTTCTTGTATTGGTTGAGCTTGTCACAAATGATGCCAGGCTTGTTGGCATAAAAGCAGCAGCAGTGTTCCTGCAAAGCAAGACAGAGACCCTCTGTTTTGCCAAAAGGAGGTCTAACCCACGTTTATTTTGAAGTACTACTTTTATAAGGGAGTCTAATTGATCTTGGACAAAAGTAACAGAGGAAGCTAATTCTTGTACATCAGAAACAAGGGAATCAGTAAGTTGTTTGAGTCGAAGGGAATATCCCAGTCCAGCAGAGCCAGCAGCTGTAGCTGCAGCAAAGCCTAGAGTAGCAATAATAGGAAGGAACTGTATAGCACGCTTGGACCGTGCGTGTTTAGATTTACCAGGAATGAGATCAAAGGCAGGAATGGGAACTGGCCCATCTCCTTTAATAATATCCACATCAGGGATAAGCATGGCAAGAGTGCAAGAACCTACCCAGCGCTCGGGCAAAAAGGTGTAAGCCAAAGTAGTGCCACAAACAAAAATTGTGTTATGAGGAGTGCATAAGTCAGTTATATGGGAAATATGTATCTTGGGAACCAGCAGTTAGCGTAATGGTTATGTCGCTGGATTCCCACGTAGTCCACCACGGTTCGCGTCCCAGACCCGGTGGCTTAGAACTCACACCAGGCGCGTGTGCGTGCGTGCCCGAGATCCCAAGAGGAGAATGGAGGAGAAGGGATTGCGGTGGGACCATCCCCCCGGGGGGTGATTTCTTGCTTTCTGTCTCTAATGTCTCTCTCTGTCTGTCTGGCGAGCGCACGTGCCCTATAGTGAAAATCTCTCTCTCAAAAAAAAAAAATATGTATCTTATCAGTACAATCAGAGAATGTAATGAAGCCAAGAACGAACTCATCAGAATGATCAAAGGAGGGAGAATAAAGACAACGTATGTTCGAGGGGAAGACAGGCTGAACCAGAAAAGGCAAAGTAGGCGAACAATGTGAGGATTCGACAGGAAAAGTGAAGTTAACAATTGGAAGAGCAGACGGAATCTGTGGACCATGGCGAAGACAGCACCAACAGTCTTCAGCAATTGTGGGCTGAGAAACATTGAGTAAGGCGAGTGTGAAATTAAGGAGCGGGTATGTATGTTTATCAAGAAGGTCATCAGGAGGGTTATAGGATATCTTAGGACGTAAATGTTGTGTGATGTCGTTCAGATGTTTTTGTACCTTGATCGTCTAACTATCTTGAGGTCCACCCCTATCAGAGATGTGGTAGTTTGTGTAGCCGAGAAATGAGTTTTATTTCTGTGGACGCATGTGATGACATGATTATAACAAGAAGCATGAAGTGTAGATTTGAAAACTGTTCACATGCATTGAGGAGGTGTAGAAGAAGAGATTTGGGTGTATCAGTGCAATACCAAGTAGGGAGTTTGTGTAGCGGAGATTAGAGGTTCGTCCAGTAACGAGAGGGATATGTGATTTGTTCGCAGTTTGTTCGGGGTGAAGATATGCGGTGTATCCAGAGCAGATAACTGAAGAGAGTGGTGTGAAAGAAAGTTGAGTAATCTTACCACCGGGACATGTACAACGAATATTGTAATCAATTGTCTGTTGAGTTGGGCCAGGGTCAAAACCAGCAGCAACAGCGTCGAAGAGACAAAACAGGATCAGATATTTAAGAATCTTCATTTTGTTGGTCTGTGGAAGAAAAGAGAGGTATCTCAGGGTTTTTGTCATCCCTGGATGAATTATTATCATTTGAATCAATTTGTTTGACTACTCTTTCAGGTAGCCAACAAGCAGCATTCAGTTTTTGAGAATAAATGCAAACAGACCCTCTGCCCCAAATGAGGACAGGGTCTGGATCGTCCCATGAATTGTCCAAAGGATCTTTCCACAAAACTGTGGCAAAGTTTGTTTTAGTAGTTGAATGCCAGAAGCGCTCAGCAGCTGAGCATCCATCTTTATCAAGTGTTAGAAAATTTAAAATAAAAAGCGTATGTGCCAAAAGGTTTTTTGGTGAGCCTTTGGTTTGTAAAATCTCCCCTTTTTTTAATTTTTGGAGAGTATTTTTTAGGGAGAGATGAGCATGTTCAACAATACCTTGTCCTTGGGGATTGTATGGGATCCCCGTGACATGTTTAATGTGGAATTGTTTACAAAAAGAAGCAAAATTATTACCTGTATAACCTGGACCATTATCTGTTTTAATTTGTTGCGGTTTGCCCAGAACAGAAAGGGTAGTAAGTACATGGGAAACAACATGTTTACCAGCCTACCAGTCTGTGCCGTGGCAAAAATGAAACCACTAAAGGTGTCAACAGTGACATGTACATACTTAAGAGTACCAAATTCAGCAACATGAGTGACATCCACTTGCCATAAGGAATTAGGCATAAGGCCTCTAGGGTTAACACCCAAATGTGGTGTAGGCAAAAGAGTAACACAGGCCGGACATTGTTTTAAAATTTGTCGGGCTTGTTCTTGAGTAATTTTAAACATAAGATGAAGAGTGTGAGAATTCAAATGATGTAGTCGATGGACAGCAACAGCATCTGAAAGATTTGTGTCAGTTTGAGTGAAAACCAGAAGAGAATGTGTTGTGGCCAGATCAGCGCGACGATTACCCTCAGTTAAAGGGCCAGGCAAGTCTGTATGTGCACGCAAATGGCCGATGTAAAAAGGTAACTTTCGATTTCTAATGAGAGATTGTAATTGGAGGAAAAACTGCACGGCCTGTGGAACTTGTTTAATTTGTGCCGCAGTTTCCAGAAGTGGTACAGACATAGCAATATAAGCACTATCTGTGTATAAGTTTAAAGGTGTATCAGGAAAAGCAGAGAAGACTGCAATAACTGCTTGCAGGTCAACCAATTGAGCTGACATCGAAGAAGTAGTAAATGTAATTGTTTGATCAGAGAAAGAATAAGAAGCAGTTCCAGTAGAGGAACCATCAGTAAAAACCAATAGACCATTTGCAGCAGGATGAAGTGAAGTTTGTACAGGGAAATCAAAGTCGTGGGTATATAAAAAATGTAAAAATTTGTTTGGAGGAAGATGGCTATCAATATTTCCAGTAAAGGAAACACATGCTATAGGCCAGAAATCTGTTTGTTGGAACAGCCAGTCAATCTGATTTTTAGTATATGGCTGAATGATTACATCAGGATCTTTACCAAAGTAGGTAACACTTAAATTCCGTGCCATACTGATTATATCAGCCACAGCTTGATAATAAGGATATATAACCTTTGAAGGAGAAGACAGAAGGTGGACCCACATAATTGGTGCCGATTGCCAAAATACAGCCGTTGGAGTGAAAGCAGTCCAACAAATCACAAGGAATAACGGTTGACTATAATCTATGGCTGTAATAAATTGAGAGGCAATGGCTTTTTCTACTATAGAGAGTGCCTGACGGCCTTCCTCCGTAAGCACTCGAGGAGACCTAGGATTGTGGTCTCCCTGTAAAATATTGAATAGAGGTTTAATTTGACCTGTAGTTAATTTTAAATAAGGGCAGATCCAACTGATATCACCCAATAATTTTTGGAAGTCATTCAAAGTTTTCAAATTGTCAAGTCTAAACTATATTTTAGGAGTATAAATTTTCAGGCCAAAAAGATGATACCCTAAATAAGTATAGGGATCTTTAAGTTGTACTTTTTGGGGGGCAATCTTTAGCCCTCAGGCAGATAAGTGTTCCTTAAGGTCATGAAAACATTGAAGGACTAATTGACCATCTTTACCAGCAATTAAGATACCATCCATATAATGAATAATATACATTTGAACCCATTTGTCTCTAACTGATTGTATGGCAGCAGCAACATATTTTTGGCACAGAGTAGGGCTGTTTGTCATTCCTTGAGGCAAGACCCACCACTCATAACGTTTCATTGGTTCTTTAAAGTTAATCGATGGAATACTAAAGGCAAATCTTTCCTGATCTAAAGGATGGAAGGAAATAGTTAAAAAACAACCTTGAAGGTCAATAACTATTTTAAAGAAATTAAGGGGTATGGCTACTGGAGACGGTAGCTCAGGTTGAAGTGCCCCCATTGGAATCATAGTTTTATTGATTGCTCTTAAATCCTGAAGTAAATGCCATTTTCCTGATTTTTTCTTAATAACAAAAATAGGTGTATTCCAGGGCGAGGTACTCTGTATGATATGTCCTCCCTCAAATTGTTCCTGTACTAACAATTGAGCATCCTGCAGCTTTTCGGAAGGTAAAGGCCATTGATCAACCCACACTGGTGTATCATTTTTCCAAGTGATCTGATCTGCGTGGGGCACAGGAATGTCAATGGCCGCTAGGATAAATTTCCCAGTCTGGCTCTATCAAGTTTAGGTTCAGGCAGTAGAGGTTGGACAATGCCTGATTCATTTTTTCCCAAGCCTTTCCCTGGTGCATAACCTTGAGCCAGCATTTGTGCAGTTACTGTATCATTTGGGCTGAACATCAAGAGACTCGTTTGTGATAACAAGTCTTGTCCCCACAAGTTAATAGGAAGGCCTTGTATTACGAAAGGCTGAATGTGTCCCTGATTGCCTTCCCTATCTTTCCATTGTAACATTTTTGAACTTCTCTCAGGATTTTGACTTTGTTCTATACCCTTTAAGTTAGTGAGGGTTGGAACCAGAAGCCAAGACTGAGGCCAGTTATCTTTTTTAATAATTGTAACATCAGCTCCAGTGTCTATCAGTCCAGAAAATTGTTTTCCATCCAGCCACAAAGTAAGCATTGGTTTAGTTGGAGAAATTTGTTGTAACCAATAGGCATCTGAAGAACCAAAGCCTTTTTCGCCCTGTGAAGAGGCTTGAATGTTGTTTTGAGTCAAGAGCAATGAAAGGAGCAGGAGCTGAGCTATGCGTTTATTGGCAGGAATGGTTGTAATTAACCA